TGCCAGAAAGAAACATCTGCCGGCAGTAACGATCCAGGGAGATAATTATAAATGATAGAATTCTGTTGTTATAAGGTATTTATTCTTACCAAGCTTATGGCAAACATTCCAAGCGTTGCAAAACTAAATACTGCCCATTGAAGTAACGACCATAATTTCTTAAACACACCTTTTTCCATGACACACCTGCAAATGATATTTAGGCCTGTTATAACAGAATGATAAAACTTACGATAAATCGACGAGTGTACTCTTTAACCCCTGTTAAGCACAATTTGAAGACATCTCGTTTTAAGAATATGTATTTGGAGCTTCGCTAACTTTATTGAGCCTTAACACAGAGTTCCAGATATGTTAACCCAAAATGACCATCCAACAGTCTATAAGGGGAAATAAAATTAGCCATCGACTAAAATTCTAACTCGGGAAAATCGTTAACCAACAGCTTTCGAGTAACTGTTACTTTACAAAAAATAGGACTGCAAGGCGTTCATGTGGCGAATGCTGTATACTCCAATGGTGAATGGAGTACGGGATCCCTCTATAAGGTACAAGAGGTACCTTTGAAATTTTGGTCGCAATACAAACCGTGTCGATGCCAAGAGCTCGTCATGAAAAAGCCGCTACGCTTCTCTTTCTAAACTGAGTGAGATCATTGAGTGAAGAACTGAAGAAAAACGTAAAGCCTACCCTACAAATGATACAATAATTTCCACTCCCAAAGATGTAGTGCCGATCCATATTGTGATGGGAACAGCCTGATCCACTGCTTTGAAGAATGTCCTCTGTGAGAAAGCTGGCGACATTAAACCAAAAAACAATAATAAAAAAGAAATATTACCGAGACAGTCTAGGTTTCAAAATAACAATTTGGGAAGTAACAAAACAAAAAATTTCGGCCTTTCGGGCCTCAATAGAGTACTAAAGTGATGACGTCATAAAAATGAAATTTCTGAAATTATGGGATTTGTCAGGATATTCTGAAAGAACAATGTCCAATAGGCCTACTTGCCAAAAATGAGCATTTGGGGGCAAATTGTCTCTGAGATCGTAGCCCAGTTATACTCAGAAAACTCCATACAAACCCTTCTAATTTTTTTTTTGGTCGACCCAAAAAAAATTTAGAAGGGTTTGTATGGAGTTTTGTAAGCATAACTGGGCTACGATCTCAGAGACAATTTGCCCCCAAATGCTCATTTTCGGCAAGTAGGCCTATTGGACATTGTTCTTTCAGAATATCCTGACAAATCCCATAATTTCAGAAATTTCATTTTTATGACGTCA